CGCACTAAACACGCGCTCCGATGCCACGCTACTGGCCGGGCATGACAGCCTTTCAAGGGCAAATTCAGCTAGTTGGGGCCAAAGGTCAAGTTTCGTTGCCCAGTAGTCAAGGGGATTGTCTACCTCGGTTGGCAGGGTGCTGTCCAAGTAGGCCTAAGCCTGTTGTTTGAGGTCCTGCTCCAGGTCCACCTGATGCTGCTGCTGCTGCTGCTGCTGCTGGGCTGGTTAGTAGTTTCCTCACTGCGCTGGTGAAGAAAGCTACTCATCATCGACTGCAGACTGAGGCAGCCGCTGCTGGTGGAGCTGCCACTGCTCCTACCACCCCACCCCACCCCTCCCCTGCTGCCATGGCAGCGGAACGCGAGCGCACAGGGCCCACAGTGTCTGAGGATGGACGTTGGCGCAGACAGGCAGAGACCAGCTGACTACATAGGTGGTTTTTATAGTACGTTATTTTGGCCTCCCTCTCAGCAGGTGTGAAAAAGGCCACCATTTTTGAACGGTAGCGAGGGTCCAACAAGGTGGACAGCCAAAAGTCATCCCTCTGTCTGATGGTTATTATTCGGCTGTCGCTACGCAAGCAAGCGAGCATGCTATGGGCCATTTGTGCCAAGGAATGCGAGGGACTCCCCCTGCCTCCATCTCCACAGCATACTGCCACGGTGCGTCTGGGTCCTCTGTCTCTGTCCTCCTCCTCCTCCTCCTCTACCAGAGATGCTCCTGCTCCTCCACTCCTGTCCGCTGAGTGGAAAAACCACCCATTTCACTCAATAATTCCTGAGCACCAATGTCCTCCTCTACCTCCTCCTCTTCTTCCTGTCCTGCCCCCACAGGGGTCATGTGGCGTTGAGATCTGTGCGCCACGTCTACCGCACCCTGACCAGCCATTGTTAACAGCATTTGTTCCAGGACGTGCAACAGAGGAATGACGTCGTTCATCCCATAGTCCTGCCGACTCACGAATAGCGTGGCCTCCTCAAAGGGCCTGAGCAAGCGCAGGTGTCACGCATGAGCTGCCAATGGCTGACATCTAAGTTACACAGGGAATACCTTTATCCGCTTTTAACATCAGGAAATCTGTGATGGCCTTTTGCTGTTCGTAAAGGCGGTCTAACATATGTAGGGTTGAATTCCACCTTGTTGCAACGTCACAGCATGAGGAGTCGGTATAGGGGCCCATGGCAGATTAGGGGCCCTGGCAGCAGCAATGGGAGGCCCGTAAATCTGCCAGCACCCTATGTCAAAAAATTCTACACACCAGCAGTGTGTGAGGAGACCTGAAAGTGGCACATGGCAGAGTGTGGCGATGGAGACAGCAGCAATGGGAGGCCGTACAGGGACCCATGACAGACTCTGGACCTGGCAGCAGCATGAGGAGGCGGTATATAGGGGCCTATGGCAGATTAGGGGCCTGGCAGCAGCTATAGGAGGCCCCATAATCTGCCAGCACCCTATGTCAAAAAAAATTCTACACACCAGCAGTGTGAGGAGACCTGAAAGTGGCACATGGCATGTGCATGAGAGACTCAAATGGACCTGGCATGACAGACTCTGGACCTGGCAGCAGCATGAGGAGCGGTATATAGGGGCCTATGGCAGATTAGGGGCCTGGCAGCAGCTATAGGAGGCCCATAATCTGCCAGCACCCTATGTCAAAAAATTCAACACACCAGCAGTGTGTGAGGAGACCTGAAAGTGGCACATGGCAGAGTGTGGCGATGGAGACAGCAGCAATGGGAGGCCGTACAGGGACCCATGACAGACTCTGGACCTGGCAGCAGCATGAGGAGGCGGTATATAGGGGCCTATGGCAGATTAGGGGCCTGGCAGCAGCTATGGGAGGCCTTAATCTGCCCAGCACCCTATGTCAAAAAATTCTACACACCAGCAGTGTGTGAGGAGACCTGAAAGTGGCACATGGCAGAGTGTGGCGATGGAGAGCAGCAGCAATGGGAGGCCGTACAGGGACCCATGACAGACTCTGGACCTGGCAGCAGCATGAGGAGGCGGTATATAGGGGCCTATGGCAGATTAGGGGCCTGGCAGCAGCTATAGGGAGGCCCATAATCTGCCAGCACCCTATGTCAAAAAATTCAACACACCAGCAGTGTGTGAGGAGACCTGAAAGTGGCACATGGCAGAGTGTGGCGATGGAGACAGCAGCAATGGGAGGCCGTACAGGGACCCATGACAGACTCTGGACCTGGCAGCAGCATGAGGAGGCGGTATATAGGGGCCTATGGCAGATTAGGGGCCTGGCAGCAGCTATGGGAGGCCCATAATCTGCCAGCACCCTATGTCAAAAAATTCTACACACCAGCAGTGTGTGAGGAGACCTGAAAGTGGCACATGGCACATGGCAGAGAGAGGAGGCCGTGGACCCATGGCAGCAGCATGAGGCAGCAGCATGGGAGGCGGTATATAGGGGCCTATGGCAGATTAGGGGCCTGGCAGCAGCTATGGGAGGCCCATAATCTGCCAGCACCCTATGTCAAAAAATTCTACACACCAGCAGTGTGTGAGGAGACCTGAAAGTGGCACATGGCAGAGTGTGGGCGATGGAGACAGCAGCAATGGGAGGCCGTACAGGGACCCATGACAGACTCTGGACCTGGCAGCAGCATGAGGAGGCGGTATATAGGGGCCTATGGCAGATTAGGGGCCTGGCAGCAGCTATGGGAGGCCCAATAATCTGCCAGCACCCTATGTCAAAAAATTCTACACACCAGCAGTGTGTGAGGAGACCTGAAAGTGGCACATGTGTGGCGATGAGACAGCAGCAATGGGAGGCCGTACAGGGACCCATGACAGACTCTGGACCTGGCAGCAGCATGAGGAGGCGGGTATATAGGGGCCTATGGCAGATTAGGGGCCTGGCAGCAGCTATGGGAGGCCCATAATCTGCCAGCACCCTATGTCAAAAAATTCTACACACACCAGCAGTGTGTGAGAGAGACCTGAAAGTGGCACATGGCAGAGTGTGGCGATGGAGACAGCAGCAATGGGAGGCCGTACAGGGACCCATGACAGACTCTGGACCTGGCAGCAGCATGAGGAGGCGGTATATATAGGGGCCCATGGCAGATTAGGGGCCTGGCAGCAGCTATGGGAGGCCCGTAATCTGCCAGCACCCTATGTCAAAAAATTCTACACACACAGCAGTGTGTGAGGAGACCTGAAAGTGGCACATGGCAGAGTGTGGCGATGGAGACAGCAGCAATGGGAGGCCGTACAGGGACCCATGACAGACTCTGGACCTGGCAGCAGCATGAGGAGGCGGTATATAGGGGCCCATGGCAGATTAGGGGCCTGGCAGCAGCTATGGGAGGCCCATAATCTGCCAGCACCCTATGTCAAAAAATTCTACACACCAGCAGTGTGTGAGGAGACCTGAAAGTGGCACAGCAGAGTGTGGCGATGGAGACAGCAGCAATGGGAGGCCGTACAGGGACCCATGACAGACTCTGGACCTGGCAGCAGCATGAGGAGGCGGTATATAGGGGCCTATGGCAGATTAGGGGCCTGGCAGCAGCTATGGGAGGCCCATAATCTGCCAGCACCCTATGTCAAAAAATTCTACACACCAGCAGTGTGAGGAGACCTGAAAGTGGCACATGGCAGAGTGTGGCGATGGAGACAGCAGCAATGGGAGGCCGTACAGGGACCCATGACAGACTCTGGACCTGGCAGCAGCATGAGGAGGCGGTATATAGGGGCCTATGGCAGATTAGGGGCCTGGCAGCAGCTATGGGAGGCCCGTAATCTGCCAGCACCCTATGTCAAAAAATTCTACACACCAGCAGTGTGTGAGGAGACCTGAAAGTGGCACATGGCAGAGTGTGGCGATGGAGACAGCAATGGGAGGCCGTACAGGGACCCATGACAGACTCTGGACCTGGCAGCAGCAGCATGAGGAGGCGGTATATAGGGGCCTATGCAGATTAGGGGCCTGGCAGCAGCTATGGGAGGCCCATAATCTGCCAGCACCCTATGTCAAAAAATTCTACACACCAGCAGTGTGTGAGGAGACCTGAAAGTGGCACATGGCAGAGTGTGGCGATGGAGACAGCAGCAATGGGAGGCCGTACAGGGACCCATGACAGACTCTGGACCTGGCAGCAGCATGAGGAGGCGGTATATAGGGGCCCATGGCAGATTAGGGGCCTGGCAGCAGCTATGGGAGGCCCATAATCTGCCAGCACCCTATGTCAAAAAATTCTACACACCAGCAGTGTGTGAGGAGACCTGAAAGTGGCACATGGCAGAGTGTGGCGATGGAGACAGCAGCAATGGGAGGCCGTACAGGGACCCATGACAGACTCTGGACCTGGCAGCAGCATGAGGAGGCGGTATATAGGGGCCTATGGCAGATTAGGGGCCTGGCAGCAGCTATATGGGAGGCCCATAATCTGCCAGCACCCTATGTCAAAAAATTCAACACACCAGCAGTGTGTGAGAGACCTGAAAGTGGCACATGGCAGAGTGTGGCGATGGAGACAGCAGCAATGGGAGGCCGTACAGGGACCCATGACAGACTCTGGACCTGGCAGCAGCATGAGGAGGCGGTATATAGGGGCCTATGGCAGATTAGGGGCCTGGCAGCAGCTATGGGAGGCCCGTAATCTGCCAGCACCCTATGTCAAAAAATTCTACACACCAGCAGTGTGTGAGGAGACCTGAAAGTGGCACATGGCAGAGTGTGGCGATGGAGACAGCAGCAATGGGAGGCCGTACAGGGACCCATGACAGACTCTGGACCTGGCAGCAGCATGAGGAGGCGGTATATAGGGGGCCTATGGCAGATTAGGGGCCTGGCAGCAGCTATGGGAGGCCCGTAATCTGCCAGCACCCTATGTCAAAAAATTCTACACACCAGCAGTGTGTGAGGAGACCTGAAAGTGGCACATGGCAGAGTGTGGCGATGGAGACAGCAAATGGCTGGACCTGAGAGACAGCAGCAGCATGAGGAGGCGGTATATAGGGGCCCATGGCAGATTAGGGGCCTGGCAGCAGCTATGGGAGGCCCATAATCTGCCAGCACCCTATGTCAAAAAAATTCAGCAGTGTGTGAGGAGACCTGAAAGTGGCACATGGCAGAGTGTGGCGATGGAGACAGCAGCAATGGGAGGCCTGGCCCATGACAGCATCTGGACCTGGCAGCAGCATGAGGAGGCGGTATATAGGGGCCTATGGCAGATTAGGGGCCTGGCAGCAGCTATGGGAGGCCCGTAATCTGCCAGCACCCTATGTCAAAAAATTCTACACACCAGCAGTGTGAGGAGACCTGAAAGTGGCACATGGCAGAGTGTGGCGATGGAGACAGCAGCAATGGGAGGCCGTACAGGGACCCATGACAGACTCTGGACCTGGCAGCAGCATGAGGAGGCGGTATATAGGGGCCCATGGCAGATTAGGGGCCTGGCAGCAGCTATGGGAGGCCCGTAATCTGCCAGCACCCTATGTCAAAAAATTCTACACACCAGCAGTGTGTGAGGAGACCTGAAAGTGGCACATGGCAGAGTGTGGCGATGGAGACAGCAGCAATGGGAGGCCGTACAGGGACCCATGACAGACTCTGGACCTGGCAGCAGCATGAGGAGGCGGTATATAGGGGCCCATGGCAGATTAGGGGCCTGGCAGCAGCTATGGGAGGCCCGTAATCTGCCAGCACCCTATGTCAAAAAATTCTACACACCAGCAGTGTGAGGAGACCTGAAAGTGGCACATGGCAGAGTGTGGCGATGGAGACAGCAGCAATGGGAGGCCGTACAGGGACCCATGACAGACTCTGGACCTGGCAGCAGCATGAGGAGGCGGTATATAGGGGCCCATGGCAGATTAGGGGCCTGGCAGCAGCTATGGGAGGCCCATAATCTGCCAGCACCCTATGTCAAAAAATTCTACACACCAGCAGTGTGTGAGGAGACCTGAAAGTGGCACATGGCAGAGTGTGGCGATGGAGACAGCAGCAATGGGAGGCCGTACAGGGACCCATGACAGACTCTGGGCCTGGCAGCAGCATGAGGAGGCGGTATAGGGGGGCCTATGGCAGATTAGGGGCCTGGCAGCAGCATGGGAGGCCCCCGTTAATCTGCCAGCACCCTATGTCAAAAAATTCTACACACCAGCAGCAGTGTGAGGAGACCTGAAAGTGGCACATGGCAGAGTGTGGCGATGGAGACAGCAGCAGCATGGGAGGCCGTACAGGGACCCCATGACAGACTCTGGACCTGGCAGCAGCATGAGGAGGAGGCGGTATATAGGGGGCCTATGGCAGATTAGGGGCCTGGCAGCAGCTATGGGAGGCCCATAATCTGCCAGCACCCTATGTCAAAAAATTCTAACACACAGCAGTGTGAGGAGACCTGAAAGTGGCACATGGCAGAGTGTGGCGATGGAGACAGCAGCAATGGGAGGCCGTACAGGGACCCATGAGAGACTCTGGACCTGGCAGCAGCATGAGGAAGCGGTATATATAGGGCCTATGGCAGATTAGGGGCCTGGCAGCAGCTATGGGAGGCCCATAATCTGCCAGCACCCCCTAATGTCAAAAAATTCAACACACCAGCAGTGTGTGAGGAGGAGACCTGAAAGTGGCACATGGCAGAGTGTGGCGATGGAGACAGCAGCAATGGGAGGCCGTACAGGGACCCATGGGGCCCATGAGAGACTCTGGACCTGGCAGCAGCATGAGGAGGGCGGTATATAGGGGCCTATGGCAGATTAGGGGCCTGGCAGCAGCTATGGGAGGCCCGTAATCTGCCAGCACCCTATGTCAAAAAAAATTCTACACACCAGCAGTGTGTGAGGAGACCTGAAAGTGGCACATGGCAGAGTGTGGCGATGGAGACAGCAGCAATGGGAGGCCGTACAGGGACCCATGACAGACTCTGGACCTGGCAGCAGCATGAGGAGGCGGTATATAGGGGGGCCCATGGCAGATTAGGGGCCTGGCAGCAGCTATGGGAGGCCCGTAATCTGCCAGCACCCTATGTCAAAAAATTCTACACACCAGCAGTGTGTGAGGAGACCTGAAGTGGCACATGGCAGAGTGTGGCGATGGAGACAGCAGCAGCAATGGGAGGCCGTACAGGGACCCATGACAGACTCTGGACCTGGCAGCAGCATGAGGAGGCGGTATATAGGGGCCTATGGCAGATTAGGGGCCTGGCAGCAGCTATGGGAGGCCCGTAATCTGCCAGCACCCTATGTCAAAAAATTCTACACACCAGCAGTGTGTGAGGAGACCTGAAAGTGGCACATGGCAGAGTGTGGCGATGGAGACAGCAGCAATGGGAGGCCGTACAGGGACCCATGACAGACTCTGGACCTGGCAGCAGCATGAGGAGGCGGTATATAGGGGCCATGGGAGATTAGGGGGCAGGCTATGGGAGGCCCATAATCTGCCAGCACCCTATGTCAAAAAATTCTGCAGGAGACCTAAAGTGGCACATGGCAAGGGGCCACAGCAGCAATGGGAGGCCCGTAATCTGGCACCCATGAGAGACTCTGGACCTGGCAGCAGCATGAGGAGGCGGTATATAGGGGCCCATGGCAGATTAGGGGCCTGGGCAGATTAGGGGCCTGGCAGCAGCAATGGGAGGCCCATAATCTGCCAGCACCCTATGTCAAAAAATTCTACACACCAGCAGTGTGTGAGGAGACCTGAAAGGCACATGGCAGAGTGTGGCGATGGAGACAGCAGCAATGGGAGGCCGTACAGGGACCCATGAGAGACTCTGGACCTGGCAGCAGCATGAGGAGGCGGTATATAGGGGCCTATGGCAGATTAGGGGCCTGGCAGCAGCTATAGGAGGCCCGTAATCTGCCAGCACCCCTATGTCAAAAAATTCTACACACCAGCAGTGTGTGAGGAGACCTCAAAGTGGCACATGTTTGAGGCATGATTCATGGCGGATTTAGTCAGTTGTGTCAGGAACTGGTGGTTTGAAATCCAGACTAATCCACGCCTGATTCATTTTCACAAACGTGAGTCTCTCCACACTTTGGGTGGACAGTCGTGTCCTCCGCGGAGTTACAATACCTCCTGCCGCACTAAACACACGCGCTCCGATGCCACGCTACTGGCCGGGCATGACAGCCTTTCAAGGGCAAATTCAGCTAGTTGGGGCCAAAGGTCAAGTTTCGTTGCCCAGTAGTCAAGGGGATTGTCTACCTCGGTTGGCAGGGTGCTGTCCAAGTAGGCCCAAGCCTGTTGTTTGAGGTCCTGCTCCAGGTCCACCTGATGCTGCTGCTGCTGCTGCTGCGCTGGTTAGTAGTTTCCTCACTGCGCTGGTGAAGAAAGCTACTCATCATCGACTGCAGACTGAGGCAGCCGCTGCTGGTGGAGCTGCCACTGCTCCTACCACCCCACCCCTCCCCTGCTGCCATGGCAGCGGAACGCGAGCGCACAGGGCCCACAGTGTCTGAGGATGGACGTTGGCGCACAAAGGCAGAGACCAACTGACTACATAGGTGGTTTTTATAGTACGTTATTTTGGCCTCCCTCTCAGCAGGTGTGAAAAAGGCCACCATTTTTGAACGGTAGCGAGGGTCCAACAAGGTGGACAGCCAAAAGTCATCCCTCTGTCTGATGGTTATTATTCGGCTGTCGCTACGCAAGCAACCGAGCATGCTATGGGCCCATTTGTGCCAAGGAATGCGAGGGACTCCCTGCCTCCATCTCCACAGCATACTGCCACGGTGCGTCTGGGTCCTCTGTCTCCTCCTCCTCCTCCTCTACCAGATGCTCCTGCTCCTCCACTCCTGTCCGCTGAGTGGAAAAACCACCCATTTCACTCAATAATTCCTGAGCACAAATGTCCTCCTCTACCTCCTCCTCTTCTTCCTGTCCTGCCCCCACAGGGGTCATGTGGCGTTGAGATCTGTGCGCCACGTCTACCGCACCCTGACCAGCCATTGTTAACAGCATTTGTTCAAGGACGTGCAACAGAGGAATGACGTCGTTCATCCCATAGTCCTGCCGACTCACGAATAGCGTGGCCTCCTCAAAGGGCCTGAGCAAGCGGCAGGTGTCACGCATGAGCTGCCAATGGCTGACATCGAAGTTACACAGGGGAGTACCTTTATCCGCTTGTAACATCAGGAAATCGGTGATGGCCTTTCGCTGTTCGTAAAGGCGGTCTAACATGTGTAGGGTTGAATTCCACCTTGTTGCAACGTCGCAGATCAGGCGATGCTGTGGAATTCCGTTCTTCTGCCGCTGCAGCTCAAGGAGGGTGTGCTTTGCGGTGTAGGAATGGCTGAAATGCATGCAAAGTTTACGTGACATTTTAAGGATGTCTTGCAGTGGGATGGTGGATTTTAGGAACCGCTTGACAACCAGATTGAACACGTGAGCCATGCATGGCGCATGGCACAACCTTCCTTGACGCAGAGCAGACACCATGTTCTTTCCGTTGTCGGTCAACATGGTTCCGATTTTCAGTTTGCGCGGAGACAGCCATCTGTCGATTTCTCTGTTCATTACACTCAGAAGTTCCTCCCCCCTGTGTGACTACGTTCGCCAAGGCATACCAGTGCAGCAACAGCGTGACACCGTTGCGCCCTGCACATGTGATATGCCGGTCGGGTAATGGGACTTGGCACGGGGGTGGCGGCTGAGGACACGGCGGAAGAAGAGGTGGTAGAGGCGGACATCTTTGCCGGACCAAGGACGTGCAAACGTGGAGGCAAAAGCGGCGTGACCTGTCCAAGTTGCTGGTGCGGCTGTGACGGCACCACGTTCACCCAGTGGGCCGTAAATGACATGTACTGTCCCTGACCGTAGTTACAGCTCCACACGTCGGCGCTGCCGTGCACTTTGGCAGAGACCGACATGCTCAAAGACTGGCCCACCATGTCTTCTACATGTGAATGCAGGGCTGGCACTGCCTTTTTGGCGAAGAAATGACGGCTTGGCACTCTCCACCGCGCGCGCGGCACAAGCCATCATTTCTCTGAAAGGTGCTGAGTCCACCACTTGGAAAGGGAGGGACTGCAGCACCAGCAACTTGGACAGGAGGACGTTCAGCTTTTGCACCGTCGGGTGCGTGCTCGCAAACTGTTGTCTCTTGGAAACGGATTCCAAGAAAGACTGCTGACGGAATCCGTGAAGAGGAGTAGCAGGAGAAGGAGCATCTGAACGAGCGGAAGATGCCAACGAGCGACAACTCCCCCTCAGCAGAGGTGTTGGAGCCTTGACTGGCTGATGGAGGGCGATTGACGTCGGGTGACGGAGCAAGTAACGGAGCGGGTGATGGAGCGGGGGGCTGGGGCAGGCAGAACCGCCCGTATCTTTATCACGGTTTTCCCAGGCCACCAAATGGCGACGCTGCATATGCTGCCGCAACGCTGTAGTCCCAACATGGGCCCCCTGGCCACGCTTGACTTTCTGGCCACATAGTCGACATACGGCTACGTTTACTTCCTCGGGCGGCTTGACGAAAAATTGCCACACCGCCGAGTAGGAAACTTTGCCCCCGCTACTCCTCACTGGCTGACTGCTGCTGCTTCCTCCGTGCACACCGGCACCACTACTGGCCGTGGTGGTAGGCTGCAGTGGAGCTGGTGCTCTACTCCGTGGCCGTTTGCTCCACTGACACTGCTGCGACCCTGCT